TACAATATGATGCAGGAAGAGGGTCTTCACCATAGGTTCAGAAAGTTTTAGACTTTCCCATCTTACCTATGTTGGGTTTTATCTAGTTCTCTTCTCCCCACCTTCCTTCCATTCCTCTTTGATGTGCTACTTGTACTCATTAGCGCTAATTAGAGGCCTCTCCCATCTATGGAAGTAGACTACCAGTTCTTCCCATTTACCTGGCTTAGAAATTTGCCTCCCAGAACCAATAAATAGATTTCTTCCCTTTTAGTTTTTTTGTGCACATAACTCAGGCAAGATGCAGACTATCATTTCTGGTCACCAAACTGAATCAACATACCAGCACTTCTGTTGTAGATACCTGAATAGGTGAAAGCCTAGCGAAATCCATTTAAAATGAAAATCTGACTTCACTAACATCAGTTTGCTGAGTACCTGTACATTTGAGCTGGTTTGCTGAGTGCCTGTTACAAAGCTTTCCATAAGCACTTACAGGAGGTGAATGCAAAAGACATGAGCATGAATGAATGACTTGAATATTCAACAAAATGTATGTGGGAAGTACATTTGCAATGCTCAGTTCCTCTCTACTAAAAATATGGATAAGTTAAATGTGTCCTACTAGAACCTAGTGCTCCATTCCTGACCAGTGTAATACCTGTTACAATGAAGAAACTAGTACCAATCCAATTACAGAGGTAAAACATTGGTAGTTTTACCTCCTTACATTTTAATTCAAAGGGCATTGTTCTACACTGGTCACCAATATAGTGACACGTGCCATTAATCTGCTGCCGTGAAAGGCAGCCTACTTTGGGACAGCCCTAAGTGTGTATACCTTTGAGGCAGTGATAGGTTTGAGACACGTCTGTCCACCTTTGGTAAAGTTACAGATGACCTGAATGGTATCTGAAGAACAGCCAAGATTTGGGTCAATCCAGTAAGTACCTGAAGAAATGGAAGAGCAAGAATCAATGAGTGGAGAAGTCTGAGTATTTTCCATGTGTGGGGACAAGGAAAGTTTCTGCAGAGTAAGGACAGGATACTACTTCCCTTTGTGTGTCTGAAGCACATACAGCAGGCTATGCTCTGGCCAGACAGGTATGTGGCTACAAACACACACCCATTTATGGATGCATACCCGGGTCTGAGTCCCAAAACTGTAGCTGGCTAGAAGCCTACAATTAGTGGGGCATTACATGGAGGAGGAGCTATCTCATATCTTAGCCCCAAAAGCTGAGTAGTTGGGGCACTTGAGCAGGAAGCCAGAGACTTTGTTGCTAGGCCTCCTCCTCCCAGAAGGGGATTGACCCTGCATCTCCTACTTCCGAGCACAGTGCTCTAACTCCCATACCTTTGGTTAGGCATTATCTAATCCACTTTCAGTGCTTCTTTTGAAGCTGGCCTCCTGGACAGCCAAGAGGAGGAGATGTGTGGACAGGGGAAGAGACTGAGCCAAGTGGTGTGTGGCTCAGTAAGAGGGATACTGGCTTTGAAGGGAATAGGTCTTGGGTTCTAACCTGGGCCTTGCTTCCAGCGCAGGGATTACCTTCCATTTTATCTAGTCACTTTTAAACACAAGGGGCAGTTGTTCAGCTTTAAAAAGGGGCACTGGGGAGGGACTGGATAATGCCTAATCTAGCATGCCCTTCAGAGGCATGGAAAGGCTATGAGTGTAGGTAGTAGGGACTACAACCCAGGGGATCACCCTCCACACTGGGCTACAGAACTTGGCCCTTCCCAGACTGCCCCTTAACTCTTCTGCTCTGAGCCACCCAAAGCCTGAACAAGAGTCCAGAGTCTACTCTAAGTGACTATCTTTTTTGCATAACATTCATGTGACAGTGCTGGTCCCATGAAAAAGGGCCTCTGAACTTCTCTAGCTGGCTCTATTCACATTTGCTGGGAGCCACCTCAGGTTTCTGGCTGTGCTTTCTTACCATCACCCATCTGCTGTTCACAGTTCATGAGGTCTCGACAGATGCGTGCAGGGTTTTCCTTGGTTCCCAGGGGTCTTTTGATGCTCTGGATGAGGTTGCTGAGGTAGTGTAGAGTCTTAAAGATCTCCCCTTCCTGGTCCAACATCAGAAAGTCTGAATGTTGATAGCCCTGCAATGAAGGGAAAAAATGAAGTCGGCTCTTGACACCACTGCATTATGATGAGATTTCCCAATAAACAGTGTTACTAAAGCATCAGATCCTACAGGAAACAGAACCATTCCCACTGGAGCAGTGGGAAGATGCCACATGCAGAAGACACATGCTCTCAATGATGCTCACTTAGCTAACACTGCTTGGCAGTGCTTTGAACTGGGGGTGTTCCCAACTGTCTGCCTTAAATAAAGGAAGCTTGACTGATACTAAATGAACCCAGCTAGTCATCAAAGAGAGAAGCAAAACATAAAAGTAGAAAAAAAATCTTACAGGATTCCATTAAGTGCATTCAAACATTCACAGAAATCAGTCCAACCCCTTGCCCCTCCCTGGGAATACGGTACACTGACTAGGCTCTAGCATTGTCACGCAGTGCTGTCCAGTAGGGGATGATGCCTCCACATCTTTCTTCAGGAGAAGAGCATAAGCCTTCTAGGTGTTGAGTTTCATGTAAACAGGAACCGATACGGATCTTTTCTTAGCATTGGTAGGAGGATTCTTTAAGAATATCATTAATGCATTTGCAGTGTAAAGCATACATTTCCAAACTATGTACATGTTTTGAATGCAGGTTAGTTTGGGGGCCTGAGCTACTTGGATCTTTTTATGGGCATAATTAAGAAGAATGGGAATCTTCCTTGAAAAGGAGACAGTAGGGAGGGTGCGCACAATTTTTTCAGTTCTTTATTCAGCTGACTTGGACAGGAATTGTACTTGCACAAGAACCAACCAGTCCAGCCCTGTATATTATGCAGACAGAGGGATAAGATCATAGGGGGCTAGAATCGGGATGTAAGGCAATTCCAAACAGGGAGAAAGTGTTTCTTTAAGAGAGAAGGGAAAGAACAAATAAGGTGGCACAAAGAGGGGCTGTTTTCTAATCCTTAAGAGAGGACGTGCATATGGATCCAAGGTTGGTAGGTTGAAAAGCACTTTGGGTACCTCTGTCTTGAGCGCAGTATTTGAGTCTATCAGTGTCTGGAAGGCTGCACCAAAGTCATCTTGTTGCTGGTGGGTAGAGGAAAATAACATAATTGAGATCTAGATCATTAGACCTGTTTTTAAAGAAGCTGAATGCTCCTGACAAGCAAATACTTCCCTCTACCTAGATGCCAAATACAAGCACTGCCCTACCTGGGACAGTGTCTTCTTCTCAGCCCGCGCAGGGGGAAGATGCTAGAGGGTGTTTTGGGAAGCACCCTATTGAAAAAGTGTCTCCCAGATTTTCATATATTCTCACCTGCCTGCCTATTTCTTTTTATCAATATTAACAATAAGATGAAACTACTTACAAATGAAGCTGGAATTCCTGGTGGGCCCTAGAAACCAAAAGAAGAAAATGTGTCAAGCAGGACTGAATTTTATGATGGATAATTAATATTGCTGAAGGATTTCTGTTTAGCTTTTGAGACCCTGTCTCTTCTCTAAAAGAGAAGGATTCCCCATTGCAGATCAGTAAGAGTAGCAATATTTTTTTTTGTATGTGTCCAAGGAGTGCCAAACACTTGACAGAAACTGGCTTATTCAGACTTGCAATACATCTGTGAGAACTTATTTTACAGAGGGGGAGTGGAGTTAGTGTGATTTCCCAATGAGTGAGCAGGCACCTAGCTAGTTTTGGTGATAGGGTCTTATCACCCTCTCTGCTCTTTTCACATGTACTTACTGGAGGTCCAGGGTGTCCTCGAGGACCTGGGGGACCCTAAGGAGAGAGACATCAGTGAGTAACACATCCTCAGTTTGCAATGCAATTAATCACCTCTGTGACTGCGAGCGAGGAGCCTTTCCTCAACTCTGTTTTCTTCAAGTCTGTCAACCCTTCAGTATTTTATCGGTCCCCTTCCTCACTTCTTTGGGGCAAGAGAGGTGGCCATGTATTCTTACTCTCTGGCTTTTTACCAGCTTATATTGTCTTGATCTAGCTGTCATGCTTTTTCACCATCACTCTTTATGCGTGTGGCTTCATCTCTAGTTCCGTCCCATCTCTCCAAATATTTTATTTTAGTTCTTCATCCATTCCTCTCATTCCCCAGTTATGCTCATGTTTGTTACAAATGCTGCGTGTGGTTCCTGCACTTTCCAGTCCATCACCTAACAGCTACCCATTCTCTGCCCATCCTTTATATGCCAGTTATTTTCTCAGTCCCTGATCTTGCTGTGCTCTATTTCCCTCAAGCTCCAGTATTGGTAAGAAAATGGTAGCCTTAAATACTCACCCTAGGACCTTGTAATCCCTGCAAAAGAAAATTGGAAAGAATATTAATATGTAAAACAACTTTCAACTCAAGGGTCTGAAGTGAAACCATTATGGATGTTAGCAAAAAATAAGTGCAAAGCACAATGCAGGGCAACAGAATTCATGGTCAAGGCTGCTGTAGCAGAATCCATGGTTATTTGAAAAGCATTTGGGATCTTTGCTATCAGAGCAGAAGGGGTAGCTGCTTATGAGAGAGTGCTTTTGAAAGATGCACCCTCCCCCACCGAAACTGCATGAGACTCGGCCCTTCATCCTTCCCAGGCAGTTCAACCAAATCAGTTCTGGCAGGATTTGAATGCTGAACCCAATCCTAGCTCATTCCCTCTCTGTCAGGTTTTCTGTCTCCCCAGTAATGAAACCAGCCACATGCACAGCTGAGGTGTCTGAAGGATTCTGGAACAGCACTTACCATTTCACCACGACTGCCTTTGTCCCCTTTCGGACCCTATTTAAAGAACCATATAGTGTGATTATCAGGCAAGCTCCTAGTAAAAACCAGGAAGATCTCTGCAATTAGCTTAATTTGTACCTTTAAACAAAATCAGCTTTTCTTATTTTATTACTTCTTTCTTTGGGGGAAAATATAGGTATCGTGGAAGATTCCACCAATTACAAATAGGAAGAGGAAGAAGAATTGTTTAAATCTTCCACAATGAAGTACAGCTTACTATATGCATGGCAAGGGAATAGCCTCCAGGTAACCGATACCACAGGGATGTACACTCGCCTCATGCTCCCAGGGTAGCAAGGCACCTACCTGCTCTGACCCCATGGGCCAAGTAGGAATTTACCTGCTATCTTTCCTGAGACATGAATTCAGCCCACCCCTGCCGATGTCCCACAGATTAATCTGTCTGTTTTTCCCTGCAGCTGTTTTTCATTGTTATCACTGTTAATTCCTGTGTGGGTTGTCTCCGCTTTCCCTCCTGCACTATGAGAGACCACTTGAATTACCTTGGAAACCTTGTATTTTTAGGAAGTAGTGAGATGGATTTTAAACTCTGTTCAGTGCCCTTGGCATTTTGGGAGACAGGACTGGGGGTGGAGTGCCAGGCCAGATTATTTAAAACACTCAGGAACCAGCAGCTCCGTTGCAATACTACTTCTTGGGATTTTTTGTAAGAGCTCAGTACTCAAAACTGGGTGATTCAAAAGATTTAGCAACTGCTGGAGACTTCTTTTGACAATCTGGACCAGAGCTTTAAAAATAAAACCATCACTCAGTCCGATCTTTCCCACTTCCAAACTTATACTTTCATAGAGTTGTGGCTAATTTATAATTTAAGGACTTCCTTGCCCACCCCCTCCCCGCCAAGCATAACCCAGTGGCTGAAGCTTCACTTCTCAAGTTATTCATTCTGCGACAGTGATAATATTTTGCTCTGTCCGTTCAGAAAGGGCTTGGGTTTATATAGCGTGGAAGTGAAATTTGGGGGCTTCTCTGAGGAAGCAACAAGTATGGACCTAAACAACTCCAAAACCTCTGGTCTTTCAAAAGTAAAGGCAGAAGAAACACACTTACAGGGATTCCCGTGGGACCCAACATTCCAAGTGGACCAATGATACCCTCCTTTCCCTAAGAAGGAAGCAAGACAGCATTTATGAAACAGATTCTTTTAAGTGCCAAGGTAACTTTTTCCTGACCTAGTCCTGCAGAGTAGCACGAAGCCCAATAATCCATAAAAGAGAGCGATTTCATTTTTTCCTTTTGATAGTATCACTGCTGACCCCCAGAGATATTCTGAGAACCAAGAAAACATCAAAGAGCCAGTCCCATCAATATTAAACACTCATAAACATAAAGGTAGACTCATTTTAATAGCACATCTAATAATGAAATATATTATAAACGACTGAACAGTACAGATAAGGCATATCAAGCATAAAGTGTATACTGATCTAAAGACATAACAATCTTGTTCACATTTGAGAGAGTTTAAAATGAATTTCTCTTAAGTCCTAAAGTCTTAAAAAGCCTCTAACTGATGGCCTGCCTGTTAAAAAAAAAAAAGACTTTTCACCTAAGTTTCAAATTAAGTTATAAAACAACTCTTATCATAGTTCATATGCAGATGGGCTATCCAGCAAGAACTGTAGTTCTTATCCCCTACATAAGCTATATTTTGTCTAGAATTAGCCTTGACTTATCACTTAAATGTACTTTAAGGGAGCTTTAGGGAAGCCTCTAACCTAGTTTTTTTTCCCATTCCATCGTTCTCGAATTTGTGACATCCTGTGGACTGATCATTTCCTTTACCTCTTCCTTTCTTACCCAAGCATTGATCAAGCAAATGCTATACCATATGGCCATTAAGCAATCTAGGGCTTATTGAAGTCTACACACTTTTCCATTCTTTACAGTAAACTTTCTTTAGTGACCACTTGGGAGCTCAGCAAAAAGTTATTCAAGAAGGCAGTTTTCTCATAAAGTGGGAGCAGAGCAGTTCATAGTATATTTGGGTAGACCAGAGCTGTGGTGCTGAGACCAAAGATGGGTTAAAAAAGGTAGGGAGCCTTGTATGCATGATACCGTATGACTGCTGAACTGAAGCTTCTACTTAGCCCGTGCATCAAGCATGGTGTGTCAGTAAGTGTAGTCCCCTTTTTTGTGCTGCGCAGGACTTAGCCAGTCCTGACCAAAGCCAGCAGATTGGGGAAGGAATAGAAAATTCTAAGATCAGCACAAAATTCAAAAGAACTCACCATAAGACCAGGGGGTCCCCGTGGGCCCTGAATTCCTTTGAACCCAAGGTCTCCTGGAGGTCCCTGTTGATAAAAATGAGAGAGAAATCCAGAACTGATGCATGCAAGGTTGTCTCCCTTACTGTCTCAGAAGAGGCAGAAGCACCACCTGTCATTTATGGAAATGGGGAGTCCTGATATTCAGCATTTTTTTCTTATCTCCTAAAAATCTCCCCATTCCTTAGGAAACAGGATGGTTCTTTGACAGGGCCTCCACCCTGAAAGCAACCCTTAGTTGCAATGTTTTTGTCTGGAAACTTAAATCCAAGCTCACATGAAGAAAAAATGAGCCTAAAACAAAGTCAAGCCTTACAACAGCAGTGTACACAAGACAGCCTAGATTAGAGGTCTAGAGAGAATCTGCAGTTCATCCTACCATCTTTCCCAGTTGGCATGAACTCAGTAGAGGTAACTGAATATCAGTCTTTTAAGGATGATTTCAGACATGGGAAGTAGTTTGTTAGGAAGCAAAAGCAGCATGCACTAAGGGAATTAGGAATCATCATATGGGTTCAATTGTTTCTTCAGAGGTACCAGTAAAGGACTTGCTGCCAGCTCTTAACTAATATTCCCAGTACTTGGAACTGCGGGAAGCAGCTGGCTGTTCCTAATTAAGTAAGGAAGAGAACATGTACATTATATAGACAGAAAGCCAATGAGACGCAAGAACATGTCTTACCTTTGGCCCAAACATGCCTGCGATTCCTGGAAAGCCTGATTCACCAAAGTCCCCCTGGAAGTAAGAGCCAAGGCAAATGTAAGAGCAAAACTTTAACAGCAAATGGTTGATCATAATACAACACAACAAAAGGTTTGTCAGCTTCAGAGAGAGGGAGAGAGAAGTAGACACATCCACAATCATTTTTCCAAACCAAACCAGAATTATTAGTGAAGAGTTTGAATAGAAATTAAGAGATGTCAGTCATAGGATCATAGGATTGTAGGACTGGAAGGGACCTCAAGAGATCGTCTTGTCAAACTTGCTGAAGTGATGTAGGATCAAAGATGCCACGCCATCCCTGATAGATATTTATCCAAGTTATCATTAAAGGCCTCCAAAGGAGATTCCACAACCTCCCTATATCTGTTCCAGTGTTTAAAGTTTTTCTTAATATCTAACCCAAATCTAGTTGCTGCAAATTAAGCTGATTTCTTCTCATCTTACCCAAGTGGACAAGGGTAACCATTGATCACCACCCTCTTTATAACAGTCATTCTGGTTTAGTTAAGGTTTCAGCAACTCAGAAATGGGTGGGGAGATGCTATGCCAGGAGGTAATGGAGTATGGCTTGGGAGCTTCAGCCAGGGTTAACAGACAGATAATGGAGAGGACTGCCGTGCCGTAATCTGTAAAGTTCTCTCTAGAACATACTTAGGGGACAGTTCTTCACCCTCGTAATCCTGCTTTTATTCTTTAAGACAAACTAAGCCAAAGTTGTAAACCTTCTAGAGAACCATTTGAGACGGCACCCAGTGTATGGGGAAAAACAAAAAAGAGCACTTAGAACTTAAAAAAGCTGTTTTTATTTAAAACTCATGCCTGTTTCAGATACGCCTGCAAGCATTTTTGCTCAGCTTCTCAGGGAATACAATCGCCTCTGGATGGATACCAGCCTTGGATCAGCATATAGTGCATAGTGTCATAATCAGTAATAATAAAAATAAATTAAGTTCACATGTGCATCCTAATTTCCATACTTTGAGGGGTATGCCCTTTGATATCAATGGACTTGTTGGATGGCAAAATGCAAAGTGGCTCAGGATGTTTGGGAAAAGATTAGGACAAAAATAAGTGAGATGATTCATTTAGAGTTCTGGTAATTTAAGAGATGGAAAAGGACTGTCTGGCCTCTGGGATGTATTATGTGACTTATGATGGATTCTTCTTTACAGGATATATTTATAGTGTCTTGTTCAGCCCAACTGTAAATGACTCAAATGATGGGGTTTCCACCACTTCTCTTACAAGGCTATTCCAGAATCCAATAGACCTCGCTATTAGGAAGCTTTTCCTGCCATTGTAGTGAGAAATTGCTTGGCAAGTCAAGGTCTGTTTGGAATCCGTGGCGTACAAGAAGCTTTCCAAGGATACAAAAAACTTTTAACTATCCATTTATGGATCCTGGAAAGGAAATAAACTGCTGCTGCTAGCTAACGGACAGCTCAGGCCTCTCCTATAGTAGGAGAATCTATCAAATACTCTCTCTTCAAGGAGTGGCTGGCCCCAGAAATAAATGGGAAGTAAGATTTCTAGAGGAAAAGGGAATGTGTAATCAGTTATTGGAACATTTGTCTGACAGGCCTTAATCTTTGTAGCAATCTGATTAGAGAAGATTAGGCACATGAACCTGCCAGACATGTGCACAGGAGAAAAACATGATGGAACCAATAAATTAACTCCACTTCCTGAGCCAGGATCCTGTGACCTACTTGGCCATGAAGACCCTTCCTTCATGTACAGTTGGGCATATGCTGTACTAGCTTCTCACTGACTCTGAAGTTGGACTACTTCAAAGTCTGGTTTTATTGCTTTTAGCTTTGGCATTTGAGTTTATATATAAAAAGTAAGTCTGGAGTATCCATGACTGAGGGTCTGCTGAAGGGCAACTTTTCAGAAAAAAGGGTCTATTATCTCCAGCTACTTTTTCCAAGGTAACTTTTTGACTAATATCTTTTGGCATATTTCTATGCTGCCATTAGGAGTCATGCCTGTAATGCATGTAGGCACACCTGAATAGGCTTTAATCTAGGTATGTGGGGCACCAGTCTTCAGTGTAAATACAATAGTAGCATTGGCTAAACCCACTGGAGACTTTGGGCATGTACTTATTGGAGCTTGCACTACCATGTCTTCACTGCTAGTTTAAACCTAGATGAGAGATGCCAACACATGCTGTTATCACACCTCCTGATTGCATTTCATAGATAGCCTTCGTGCCTGTGCTGACTTGGAATATAGCAACTGTTATAGCAAAGGAAATATTTAATCAAGAAGGCAATCAGCTGAGTAGGAACAAGGCTTTATGACTCTTACATGAATTTTAGGCTGGTTAAACAGCCTAATCACTGTGTGGGTCACAGAGTGGAACTATTTATTAATTCCAGGGGACAGTGTATTTAGGGCATTCCTTAAGCTTGTGGCACACTATATGTACGTGGGTTTTAATCTCTAGAATGGCTACCCATTTAGAGAGGGAGGCACTCAGAACTTCCCATGATAGTGCATCTAGAGTGAAGGAAGAGAACGAATCATCCAAGCCTACCATGGGTCTGCCATTGGGGAAAGCAGGTATATTGGCCTGGCCTACAATTTTAATGTCATGGTTCTACAGCAAGCCTGATCTTTCGTAACACATTGCTAGATATGTATGCACAGCTTGGCTGCGTGTGCTATAGTGGTAAGCTCACAGTTTGTGATGCTTGGTGTTTTATTAGAGCAGCAGCCTGGTCAGTGGCCTTACATATTTCAAAGCATCTGGAGATCCCACTGAATGCAAATACAAATAGACAGTGAGCATGCGTGCAGTGGGGTGAAGGTGAATTCTGGCAAGTTAGGAAATGTGTGTGTGTTCTGGAAGAACAACTACACAGAGACTCCTGGGTCAATGAACAGGCCAGTTACAAGTTCCTCCTTCCTCTGCTATTCCAGGACTCCTTTCTTCTACACAATCCTGGGGCCTTGTTTCCCCTTTCTGCAGAAAGGGCGCATTGGCAGACGCAATCATTTCACCTATACCACTAACCGGCTGTCCTTTGGGTCCAGGCTCTCCTGGGCTTCCTGGAAGTCCCATTCCTCCTTGTGTTCCCCGTTTCCCTATTGGACCAGTTTGCCCAGGCAATCCTCTTTCACCCTAAAAATAACAGAATAATCCCAGGTCAAAACAAATCATTTAACAGATCAAATAGAAAAGTATACTGCAGATGTAGGCATATATGAAGAAACAGAAAATGATGGTCATTGTGGTAGGGAACTGGGCTTCATCTATGGATCCTTCAGAGCTGGTGCAGATTATTTCAGAACATTCAGCATAAGACCAGTAATGGACACTAGTGTGTCCCTATTTATTAGTCACCCAGACATACAGCCACAGGCATAGCCATACAAAGAGTACCCTTGAGAGTGTACTGGGAATGTAGCATTTGAGGGGAGAAACTCATTTCCCACCTTCCTTTCTACCCTTGCCCGAATACTTGTCCTGTCCCCGTTTCCCATGGTTTCTTCCCAGGACAAGGCTACTGATTGATGATTAATCCATCTGAAATGTTGAAGGAATTCCAAGGTTTTAGTTTAATGACTTTAATCCAAAGGCTACAAAGCTAACATTTTCCCTGGCACCAGTCTCCTCAATCAAAGGCCATAAACAAGCTTTGCAGCTCCTTTCCCTGTATGCCCCTTCTCCTTGCAAAGCTCCAGGGACAGAAAGTGTTTCTGGCAAGTGTGGATGGACAAAGAGTCTTTGGATGTCTGGGTCTGGAGAGTCTGCTGAGATAAGACAGCAGGTGCCCTATGCAGCAAGGAGACAAATCCAAATACATTCCTAAAAATCTGTAGCAATCCTTAATGCTCTTGCCTTGCTTTTGGTCATCTGCGGTGACCGCGTGTTATTCTCCCCAAAGCAGCTGGGGGGCAGCAAGTGACAGTGATGAGTTAAATGAGTAGAATTTAATTTAGATTCTTCTGGCCTTTCCAAATCCAGCTGGGCTCGCTCTACTTACTGTACCTTTTTACAAATGGCTGAATTGTTGTTGGGTCTGATTTGTATCCTGTGACCCACCTAGGATAGGGCAAGAATTAGTGAAGAATCCACTAACTAAGCCTTTTGTTTCTGCTTCTTGTTCACAGCAGTGCCCAATTCCATCAGTTTAAGCCATGTCAGTGCTTGCTGAAAACTTGAGCAGCACAAATTTCCTTCCAGCAGTGTAGGTTTCCAAAGACAGACCCAGCTAGGACTCCTGAGCTTTCAAAAGAGGTGCCCTGTCATGTTCACTGAAACTCTAGCAGCATCAGCTCTTGAAGAGTTGTGTGGATCATGGCTCTAGCAGTACAATTTTTCCTGGCCATCTCACCAAGGCTATAGGGTTTTTTTTTGTGACAGTGTCGTGTACTGAGCTGAACACTGACCTTGAATCCTGGTGGTCCTTGTGCTCCAGGGAGACCAGGTACACCAGGGTTCCCTCTTTTTCCTGACATCCCTACTATGCCTTCTTCCCCGTCATCTCCTTGTTCTCCCTGTAAAAGAAATCCCAGAGAAAGTTAGTCTGTTCACCTGAGCATGTTTTCCCCTTTGCAAAGGCAGGAAGAGCAGTGTGACCACATCTATGGTGGGCAAATGTGGCTGGGATGGTGCGTGTTTGTCTACGGTTGTGTTCATGTGCTCACATACTTGCTCCTACACCACGTGGGTCTGTGCCTACAAGCGCCTGTTTGTCTGGCTGAGAGTGTCGGTTTGTTTACAGACTTGGCCACATGGAGACATCTGCCTGGGTTTGTGCGTGTGAAGTCTCTGTAAGAGTGCACACGATCCCCGCTCTCTGTATATAAAAGCCTGTCTATAGCAGTGGGTGTATCAGTTTCTGCTACACTATCCTTTGCCCTTCTTCCTCTGGGGTAGTGTTTGATTACAGTGTCACAATTACACACTTACTAGCAGCCCTGGTGTGCCATCTTTCCCGGGCACTCCATCCATTCCAGGAGCACCCTCCTGACCTTGCCGTCCCACCACTCCTCTAGGACCTGGTAATCCAATAGGACCCTGAAAACACAAAGGCATCAGTGAGGGGCTTGGAGGCTGGGGACTCAAAAAAGGAAAGACTGAATTGTCACTCACCGGTGAGCCTCTGCTGCCAGTAGAGCCCCGTGTCCCCTGCTTTCCTTTTTGACCCTAAAAGCACAAAGAAATAATTCTAAAATTACAGCAGCTCGAGTGCAGTCCCATTTGGGGGTCAGATTTCAGTGTGTACGTTAGAGAACAGTTTAAAAAGGAGATGTATAAATGTAGTTGCTACAGCAGTGAGAGGATGAACTATCATTTGGTTTTATTACAAGGGATTCTTTAGTATGTCTTGAGAGTATCTAGGGCAGGAATTAATAGCTAGAAGGAAAGGACCTACATTTTCCTAATGCAGAGCAGATGAAGACAAATAAACAAGGATGAACATGAGAGAGGGCTCGACAACTCTGGTGTATATTAGAACTGGAGGCTTAAAAGCCTTCCTTTTTGTCAGTTCTCTGACGCCATGAATCAGTCAGCATCATGGAAAGCAAGCTTACCATCTATCCTCCTTTAGAGGAGTCATAGAAAGCAGGTCTTACTCTTTTTTCTGCTGGATAACCCTCTCTGTGCTGAGCAGCTGGTGTGCAGTTCAAGAGAGGTGGATAGGATTCTTGGGGCTAAAAATAGGTAATGCTGCTTTGTCAGTATGGGGTAAAAGGAGCAGTTACTTAGCCCTACGGTTTGTTAGTAGTAGCCTCTGCAATACTCAGCCTCATTACCTTCACTAGACTTGCTAGGCTATGCAGCTCTGTCATGTACCACCACTTTAAAAAAATAAAACATAAATGCTTTTTGTGTATTGCTTCTCCATATGCAAACAGTCAGGCCAACTGTGCAAAGCAAGAGCTGCTGGGGATGTTGCTTCTGTTATTCATTAGGCTTGAGTGCAGTTTCAGCTCTGCAGTGGGCAGCAGGGTCAATCTTCCTTTGAATGTTGTGGCCAGCTTGCTCTTTGCTTACAGTGTTTACTGGAGATTACACTGCTTCCTGGCATTGTGCCCAAGGGGTCAGATTAAGGATTCCTGCATCCACCAGCATGCAATGGCAATTCCCAAGTTTTGGGGTCATGCACTTACATTTCAGCAAATCAAGTCTAATGATTAAAGAGTTGGGAAGGTCTTGAGATGAATGGGGAGGGAGGTGGGAGTGGATATTAGTATGATATGTAGTCCAGATGAAATCATGTGTAGTGGGCTGTTTTGTTGGAGAGAGAGAGGAGCAGTTAATGGGTCATAGAAGCAGGACAAATGGAGAACCATATGGATAATGGACTCTGGATCTGGAATGGGTTAAGCCTGCTAAATGTTATGGTTCAAACCTAGCAAGGAAGAGACAGACACTTATCTGGTTCAGATTTCCTCAGGGGTAGGCAAGCCAGTTGTGGGCTAGAGAGGCAGGAAGCGCAGAGTTGTGGGAAAGAGATGCAAACCAAATCAGTAACTAAAAGCTTGTCTGGGATTCACCAACATTGCTGGTACTATAATTCTCTTGATCTTCTTCAGCTCCACAAAGCCAAAAAACTAGTGGGTTTGGATACTCAAATCAATATTTACTGCCCTCCTGCTGGGTTCTCCATGGTCATTCCAGCCACAGACCATGGAACAAGCCACAGACGTTGGGAAAAATCATGACCGTCCTGATTTCACATCATCTTTAAGCTCTGAATGCCATAAAACCACTGCTTTGAAACCTACCTCATCACCTTTGGATCCCTTTGGGCCAGGCTGGCCTGGTGGTCCAGGGTCTCCCTAAAGAAGACAAATGAAAATCTTTTAAAGATTCTTTTCTGGTGCTACCTTGCATGAAACACAGAGCAGCATTCATTGTGCACCTAACAGCATTAACCACACAGAACAAATTAATGGGAACAACCTTTGGTCTGACATGCCTAGTGGGAAGGAAAAAGCAAAGGAGTATCTCCCACTATGGTTTAATGGTATCTCTTTGGCTAAGTAATACTAATCAAACTCTTATGCAGCGTTTGTGGTTGGGGTAACTACTAGCTGATCTGGAGAAATACAACGTAGAGCAGGTGGTTGGATCAATTTTGCTGCTGTACAGTTAGAGCTCGGTTATTAAACTAGATCCTTCGGTTTCTATAGCAAATACTATCTTTGTGGTATTTCCCATCTTCTGTCTTTCTCCTGTGCCCCCTTCATCTCTTGCAGCTCAACATCAACTATCTTAAGGCTAGCTATTAGGAGGAAATTAAAAAAACCCTCAAATTCTCTTCTCTGTTATGTGGATACTCCCTTGCCCTTCCCTTTTGCCATTCTGTTCTTGTTTCAGTGTATTTTGCTAATAGTGAGAAGATAAGATGATTATTTGCTAAACCATGAAACACTCTGGACGTATTTCAAAGAGCATGTTGCAGGTTACTGCGTATTTGCAGCTCTCTTTCACAGTTGTTTATAGCTGCCTGCTGTTTTTGAACCTTCTGTTTCTAAACCTCTAAGGTAAATCCAGAGCTACCTGGCATTGATGATTATCTTGGGTCATTTCAGAGGTTGTAACCCCTATATAATATAAAGTATACATTCAGAGTAAATGGATCATCTACCCACTTCTAACCATGTCACAGGACTTAAAACTGGACCCCTTAACATACTTTCTGTTACTCCCAAATATAGAACCCATGATGGCATACTCCCCATACTTCCCCCCATAAAGAATGGGAATTCTTTCAAATTTGATTCACAATTTCTAATACTTTTTAGTATGTTATTGCTCTCCAAGATGTACCGTTCTGATAGGAGTAAGGGAAAGGAGCCAGACAGCAAGCTGACTCTCAGGAATGGTGTTCATTGAGGCTTTGAGTTAATGCAAGTCAGGAACCAGAATAAATACAAATGGCACAAGCAATATGCCCTTCTCAGGGATATGTTACATATGGATTTCTTGAAGGTAGGCACAGTATCTCACATGTCTACAAATGGCTTTAGCGACTTTGCTGTTCCTACTATGTGACAATAAGAATAATATGCTTGAGACATGAGAACCACATTGACATGAAAGCTTCTCCTGCTGACATTTTGGCCATGGTACCAGCACCACAAACTAGTTCTTTGAGGTAAAAGCAGACAGGGATTTCCTGCGTATCGGCTGCTTTGTGGTAACTGTGTGTGGTTGTGCACGTGCATGTGTGCACTCAGCGAGGGCTAAACTACCAGGCTTTAGCTTTCATCTACTGTAGGATAAGAGCATGCATAAGGGCAGTTACTGCAGAGCAAGCTGCATGATAAAACCCTGCCCCCTTTAACTGCAAGTTAACCAGTTCCTGTACAAATGCCCTCATGCTCCTCCATGCCTGAGAGCTAACAGACTTTTGCATTATTTTGTCTACAACTAAGCAATATTTTAAGTTACAAAAGAATTGCGAGCACCCTGTGCAAAAAAAAGTGTAACTTCATGGGCTAGAATGTGAAAGTGTTGGCTTCATTTCATGACCTGTCTTCAAACAGCAGCCTCCTGAATACAGGTCTGAAAGTTTTCTCCAAGAGCAGTATAAACGCAAAGGGTCAGATCCTCATCTGACACAAATCAGCAAAGCTCCACTGACTTCAGTAAAGTACTGTCAATTTATACCCACCAAGGATCAGGATGCACTTTCATCATAGTGTTTGCCATTGTTAATATATGAAATAATTTTTGTAGAATGAGCTGCTAGGCCAATGTAGAGAGCTTATTTCTCAAAACTTGGGAAGCTTAGGGTTGCATGCATTTACCATTTAATTTACAGATACTATAACCGTAACTGCATGTAAAAATAGTGTATTTTAAAGCATGAAAATCCTCAGCGGTTAACTGGATGCTTGTGTGTGTATATAATGACAATAACTGCATATATAATCTGAGAAGTTCAAATTTAAAAATAATCAGTCTACTGACTTTTGACTGAATTAACCTTCATTCAGCATGCTAGATTGAGAACAGGCAAACATGGGGAACCGGCTCTGACTTGGATGAGACTCTGCAGGGGCCAGAGGAGAGTTTGGTTTGAGACCCTGGTAAGACAGCCACCAGGGCGTATGGGGGCAGTTGTGCATTGTGAAGTCCATCTGTCTGGTGAGAGCTGGACTGAGATCAAACTCATTCTTATGTGGCAAAGGTATTCATAAGGCATTTCTTGGAGACCATCATGCAGACATTGCGTCTACATACTTTGGGTCACTACTAACCTGTCCTGGATTCAGGCCATAGCTTTCCAAATAAATGCCCCATGTTAATATACAGATAGCATGTTAATTTTCCAAGCTTTCTAGTTCTCCTCCTGTTGCTAAAACATCCAATAAAACAGGCCTACAGATACTTTATTAGAACATGTGGAGCTTTCCATTCACCACTTTTGTATACCCCACTTCATGACATTGTATATTCAGAAGCATAAGTTCAATAGGTATAGATATAGATAAAATATCTCACTAAAACCTGGCACCTGGAAATGCATGTATTGTACTTTGTGTCTTACCATGTTTATTGAAGCTCCCTTTCCTATCCTGCTTGTTCTATTTCTTCTTTTCTCATACACAACACAATACGAGCAGGTTGTAATAAATGCATTTAATTAATCAAATAAAACAGAAGTCCCTTACAGGTAAGCCTTGCTGTCCAGGTTTTCCTCTTTCCCCATCAAGCCCTTCTTGACCCTTAAATACAAGGAGAGAGAGTTAGTTCTCTGGATTCTTTCTGTCAGTGCGTAAGCAGTAATGGGCGCTGCAGTAATGGTACACCTGGTCCTAATGGAGGGGAAGATGGAGGGTGGGGGAGTTGCAGTGCACACAGCTGTGTTTTGCTAATTCTGTAAAGACAAAGCATATGGGTGGTGCAATTCGGGCAAACATCTCTGAGAAGCATGAGTGTCTGTCTTAGGGAAAAGAGCCCTCTTCAAGTTCAACTCCTCTTCTCTAATTTCTTCTTCATCTTGGAGTTTCCCTATGTAATATCTTGCACTTATTTTTTACTCTGAATTTTCCCTCTCCTCATCCCATAGTTTCTCAGTATCTCTCAGTCTTCCTGTACCCCTCTTGTCATTGACTCTTTCATCTCCTCTCTCTTGTCTATCCCAGTTCTTTCCCAATATTACGGTGTAACTCTGTGACTGTATCTCAGTTTACTTTGTGCTCCTGTTTGAAAGACACCATGCAAAATTTAGTTGTATGATCTAATCAATACTTTTCAGAACTGCAGATGGCATCTTTTGGAAAAAAAAAAGGGGTAAAAGCAAGTAAACATGGCCTCTTTAACACTGTTAGAGAAACGGACATCTTGGATGAAGACAGCTGGCTCCTGTTCCATTACAGTGTATACTCTTTCATGGATAGTCATAAGAAACATGCAGTTGATCTAGTAATACCTATCCAGTACATCACAATTTAAGTAGGAAATGGGTTTATCTGCTGCATCCCTAAATATAGACAGGATTAGTTTGACCGAACATTTGGATACCAATGCACTATGGACTATAAGAGTGCTACCCTGGGGACCCATGAAGAGACATCTGAAGGTTATACATTAGGGTGGTTGATATGTTATTATAATTAATCACTCTCATGGATGACTTTGGTGCTGAGGTTAGACCTAGTCCTCAGAGTCTTTTCAGACTAGCTCAGTTATTCATGCTGACAGACTATGGATGGGAGGACTGGAAGACTTTAAAGAGATGAGACAGGAGTAAGGAGTACTCGTTCATAAATCTAACTGTGGCAAAGTTGCTCATAGCTGACAGAGGGGATTTTGGAAGCTTCCAATTAATTTAAGCTAACAGGGATCCCCATAAAAGCACCCATGTCATCATACATAAGTTCACCAATCCTGAGTCTTACTCAACTTTATCAGGACAGGTCTTGAGCTCTTTCACAAAGCCTCATGAGCAAACTCCTCATTGTATTTCCTTGAGATTCAAAAGGATCATTGATCAGAAAGTCCTGCTCTTTCTCTCTTGACTCTTGGGAATGTTGGCTTTGATGTACGGGACTTTTCCTTGCCTTCAACAAATTCTCTCCTGCTTTAAGGAAAAAGATCTGGACAATTGTTGCTCTCACGTGGAGTAACAATGGTGAATTATCATGCATCACATGAGGCCAAGGCAAAGGACCTAATGCTTCATAGGCTATATACAAGTGAAGAACTTTCCTCCAGATGGTTAGTTTTTTAGCAAGATGTAAGGGATAGAACTCACAGGGTAACCAGGGTCTCCGGGCTCCCCCCGATCTCCTCTGTCACCAACTGGACCCTACAAAAATACAGCAAAGGTTCAAGGTACATGCAAAACATCAGCAGTCCACTCTGTCTTGGCTTTTAAGGGCAGGATCCTCAATGACCAGGAAAAGAATCCACCCGGCTGTTTCATCTGCATGTGCACCATGTGCAAAATCCAGTCCACAACGATTAGAGAAAGGATTGAGCAATATCTTACTCTGTCTCCAGGTGGTCCCTGGGGGCCTTCTATCTTCCCATCATCACCTTGTTCTCCCTGTGGACATTAATATTAGCATTAAAATAACCCAGAGCACACATGACAAGTGGTTTTATAAAGACCTGTTCCAAAGTCAGTGGGAACTCTTCCCAAGGACTTCAGTGGGATGTAAATGAGGCCTTTGATATTAGCAGATGGAAAAAAAAAGCTGTTTATTAAAGGACAGCAACAGCTTTTAAGATGAAAAAAAAATCATATTTCTGTTTGAAGGGGTTTTTTCAAGCTAATATTGTCATAAATAGCATCTAGGATTCCCAAAAAGGAATGAGGGGAGAAAAGTAAATCAAATCATTTTCCTGTCTCTCTCTACTTGGTTAAATTTGTGCAAAAGAAGCTTCACACCATTTTGCTGTGCAGCCAATTAATCGGTTTCTCCTATTTGCATGCCTGTCTCCTGCACAGGACTACGTAAGTTTTTAAATAGTCATACATGATGGCAAAACCACCCAATAGGCTGGGAGGACTCCAACAGGACTAGTTTCTGCAAATACTTTTCAATTCCTTTCAAAGAGATCATGGTAGTGTTGGTCCAAGCAATGTGGGAGGGGAGAATATTTTGAGGTGACTTGAAGAAGAGTACTGAGACCTGAAAAAAGCTTGAAAGATTGTCTCAAATTTCTGCCAACTGTGCAGTTGGTCCAATACAATATATCACTCCCAAAAATACCCTTGCTTGTTTTTAAATAGATTTTTAAAGACACATTTCAGATGGATAGATCCCCTTTAAAGTTAAGGAGAGCATATTCAAAAAATGCTTAAGGGTCCTAAGAATTTAAGTCCTGTTTTCAAAAGCAGTCTAGGGACAGGTACATAAAGGCTTTTGGGGCGCTGATAAGTGCGTGCAAAGCACCTGTGGCTATGGTTATAAAGCAAGCAAACCAACCAGGCTGGGCAGCAGCACCCTTCAGCACATTGTGCTGCTCCAAAAAATGTGTAACTCCATTCCCATGGCTTGGTAGACAAGCCAATTAGCATGATGCTGGGCAAATTTGTTCTGTTACTCAGCTGTGCTGAGCAGCCTGCCTGAAGTGATGGAGAGATGCAGCTACATTGCTTCTAGTTGAAGAGGCCACCTCTTTGAAGCACTGCTTGGGGGTATTGCCACTCGGCACAGTGAACATGTGGCCTAAGTGAGATGGACACTCAGGCCCTCGATAATTTTAATGGGAGGTAATTGTATCAGGGCCAGGTACCTGAGCAAATTCCACCAAGTGCCTATCTGCATTCTTATGTGCCTCCATGCTATTGAAATTCTGGGCCTTGGGTAATTTAGGAGCCTATAGAGTAATCTGCACTTTAGACTGTAATGTAGAGATATCCAAGCTAGCTCTAAAGAAACCCAGTTAGGTATCAGAAATAGTTCAGGCCTGGCAGCATGGAGCTCAGTGCTGACTAATTTATGCTATCAAGAAGCTTGTTTAAAGATGCGTTGAGTATCTCTGCACTACTCTGCATACTGCGGTGTAGAGATACCTTAAATCTCTTAGGAAGCCAGTGGAATGTAGACTCACAGACATTATTGAAATTTAGCCCAAGCCTCTTTTGCATCCAGTCTTTTTTCCATTTAAAGAAAATTGAGCTAAAGTTATTTGTAAGAAATGCATGCATAACTCAGAGGATGAGGTTTATTGAAGGGAGTATCACACCTAAATCTCCATTAGGATATGGATTATGAGGGCTGAATCATGGCTAAACTCCTCTTAGGCTAAGGATATGGAAGTATTGTTGGGTAACATTTTCCTGAGTATCCTTTGATACAAGGAAAGAAAGGTACTTTGCTGACTAGATTTATGGTAGATGAACTGATGTGGATTCTGTTCAGATTAAGCCTCAAAGTTGAGAGTTTGGGCTCAGGCAAAATGGAGATCTTTTCTGAGCTGCTGTCATTATTTCCTGGATTTCTTGCTATTGGTCAGACTGGGACTACTGCTCATGAACCTCCTTTTGGGCATTTCCACTCTTTTCAACTCCGTCGAGATCTGAAAGTGGAAATGCGTTTAGATGTTCTAGGGGAGCAAGGGAGCAGTTGGCCTTTTGAGCTACTATGAAACTATGATTTAGGTTCATGTTTGGGAATGGTTTTTATCTGCTGGTTCCAGTTTGCCCATCCTCAAGCAGGAACCAGCAAATTTGTGTGAAGCAAAGCTGTGCTGCAGCACACACAACCTTAAGCACATCCGTCTGCCAAAAGGGCTGGGGAAAATCCTCACTGCACTAAGAAGGAGGATTATTATAAAGAGCTAACATACAGCACGAGTCCAGGGCAGTTGGTAAGCTGATTTCTAGTGATGCGTGACTGATCTGCTGGCTTTTTTCTTACCTGGTCTAGTTACCCCTTTCTAAGAAACCAGGTGCACAGAGCTATTTTTTTTTTTGTTGTGTATAAAATTAAGCAAGAGACCTGTAATAGAGAGGATGCAGGATGCTTCTATGATTTTTCTGAATTTTATTGCTTTGACAGTCAATGTAGCATTTTAATCGAACCGTGCCTTTCCCCACCTCGCTGCACATTCCCTGAGCTATAAAGAGAACGTGGCTGATCCAAATACCTAGGTGACATGCTGCTATCACAGTTTTTGTAGTCACTCAGGTTATCCCCTTATGCAGCCAATTATGCAAGAACTCCACTGACTTCACTGGGATGATTTGTATGGATAAGTGATCCCCAAGCTAAGCAAAGGGCTTGACCTGGCTCTCAGTTGGCAATACCTATGTTCAGGAGAGGCACTGGAGCAGTGCATACTATCTGATGACACAGGATCCCAATCTGGTCAGATGATCCTGTTGCATTACTAGAGTTATGCACTGTAGTCCACAACCAGTGGCGTTATGTTGGAGTGGGAGCCTGAAACTGAGCCTTTCCACAGGGCCCCAAAAGGTGACTTCTTCCATGGCCCAAATACCACTGTATTTCTGATCCTTTGGAGGCTCTGCATTCCAGACTCTTCACATGCATGCTGTTTTGCTGCTGCTGTTTTAAATTCACTTGCATAAGTTACTTGGCGCTACAGTGGCCTATTTTCTCTGGAGTCCAGCTCTGAGACGGCTGTTTCTTATCTCTCCATACAGCATAGCTACATTCCAGCTCCTTTGGTTTTTGACTACTTGATGTCACTGGATATTTGGTGTCCTGGCTTCTCAGGATTACTGTTTCACAGCTCCTTTGGGCTCCAGCTTTGGGACTGTTCCTTTGTGGAGTTTTGGGGGGACTTGCATCCTGGCTTCGTGGGCTGCTGCACCAGGACTCCTAACATGCACCAAAACCCACAAAGTAAATACACACAGAACCAAGTATTTTATAGGCTTCTGTAATGTTCAGGCAAATGGTCAGAACAACCCTTTTCAGTGTCTTAACATCTCCTTGGGGTTTTGCTGCTGTCTTCACTCTTCCATCCTGCCACCCCCGTCCTTCTGCCATCCTTCTCTTTGGTGATCTGAATAGCAGTAGTGTACTTGATCTCTGTAAATGCTCAGCAGCTCCACCACCCCAGAGAAGACCTGCAGAGCAATTTGTCTGCACTTGGCTTTTGGCAATGGCAAATCTGCAGTGGCCCATGTCCTGCTGCAGAAAACCTCTCTGGCCTCAGAGTTTGACTGTTGCTGGTGCCTTCTTTTCTGGAGGGGCTTGGGGGGTTATTGAAAAGTGTTTCTGCCACAGGGGAGGAAGGATGGGCCAAGCTATATTACAGATTTTCAGGTTAGGGGCGAGGAGGAGCTTGAACCAGTGTCAGCTTTTGTAGGCCTGCAGAGGTAGATTCCTAAAGGCTTTTGCAGACACCCTTTGTCTATACAGTGCCATTTCAAAATTCAAGATTGTACTGGTGGCATCAGTATTGTGTCTTTAATAGAAAGCATTCTGGGTGGTGCATTGATCACACTTTTGAAGTGTTAGGGGAGCTCGTGAAAAAGAGAACATAGGAAGAGGCTGTACAAGGGCTACTTGTCAGTAGAAAGCTGGATAGAGACATTTGGGTAGTTGATCACTGATGAAGAAAAGATGCATTTTTTAGACACTCCTGGGAACTGCCTAAATATAAAGGACAAAAACCCCTCCGTCCTCAGTGGAAATTCTAACCAACATGCTGAGATGCAGAAGTCTTGATATCAGATACTTCTGTTCAAGGAGGTTCCCTTTCAGAGCCTGAGCAGGCACGGGGGACTGTACCTTAAAGAAAATGTAAAATGTAGGACTTCCTCAAAGATCATCAGGCTCTTCAGAGCTCACTGCTAAACACAGGGGGCAATGTTTTAGATTCAACATGTGAAACCTTGCCTCAGGTCTTCATCAGTTTGTGGATGTCCTGTTCTGAATGACGGATCTAGTCCAGTACTGTGAGGCTGAACTGCTTCAGGACTTCTTGATGTGTGGGTCTGGGTTACTCACAGAGGGGAAGATTAATGTTTTTTTTGTATTCTCTGGAAGATGCAGTAACAAAAAAAGAGTAAAAGGGCAGAAAAGTAAACATGTTGGGATACAAATGGAAAATGCATGGAGAAGGGGAGGCTTGTTGTTGTTGGCTCCTTTCCCACAGTGAGATACACCAGTTTGTAATTTTTAAAAGGATCCCATCTGGACAGCTCCATGCTGCTGCCAAATGCAGGCATCTGCTCTGAGCAAGGCCTCTTTGAGGAGCTTTCAATGTATTAAATGCTGTAGAGTAATTAGCTGGGATGGCACCATGGAGCTGAATGCCAAAACGACTGATGCAATCAGTCCCATTACTTCTCTGGACAACAGCAGACCTTCTTCACCATTAAATATCCTTCTTCATCTGCTTTACTAACTTACTGGGAGATAAAAATGTCACAGAATCATCACAGCCCTATTTCCATTTCCTCTCCAGCTTTCTGTTCACCCTTTCATTTTCAAGGCCCTCCATTCTTCCTCTTTCATTGCTCAGGTTATAGGTGGCCTTGGGGAAATACTGCAGCATCTGCAGCCATGCTACATTGTGCTGTGAATCCAGGCAGCACCCATAAAATATGGAGGGATGAATGAAGCTAGATGAGAAAACTTCATAGCAGAAAAACATGTTTGCAGTAAGCAGTGCCGGCAGTTCGGCAAAAGAGGTCATTCTTAGCATAGTCAATATGGATAATCTGGGTACAACTGGATAACACTATGAGAAGGCTTAGCAGAAAAGAGGGGAAGAGGTGGCTTTAAAAAGCACAGAAATGGAGAAGAAAAACCAAAAGACAATGATGGAGATGAGAAAGCAGCCAGAGACTCAATCAGTTGCTCTAGTGCTGGGGATGTCTCTTAGGGCTGGAAGGCAGGAATGGAAAATGGATGAGTTCTTGGTAGCACCCACCATATTTATATGCAGGGTGTAGCCTCTCGGAGGAGTGCATATCTACAGCTTGCACAACAATGTTCCTTGCCAGTCATCCACTGTGGGTTTGCACTGCTAGTGTAGTTGGAGACGAGCGTGGTATGAAGGAGACACATCGCAGAAATTCATGTTAAGGTGGGGCACGTTCAGACACAATGGCCTAGATAGGAAATCCTGAACCAATGTGATGGGGTTCCATGTCCTGGCAAATGTGTATCCTTGGGATTTCTTCTCTGAGTCTCGAGAGCCCCTTTAAGCAAAGAAATTATTGCCTGCAGATGCACTTGTGCAATCATGTCCGTGTGTTATAAGACCAGTGCAAAGGGAATGCCAATGGCTTGCCTGGCTGCTGCACTGAGTACTTCCTGTGGTAGGAACGCTAAGTGCAGAGAGGTAGAAAACCAGGCAAAAAAAAAGCTCAAGCATCTTTACTCTTCATGGGGACCCCATTTACAACTTTTTCCAATTACTACGGCTTCCCTTCCTGTACGGGGAGCAGGGGGGAGGGGGAAAGAACCGCTGCTGTTGCTACTGACAGACGCGTGATTGACTCTGGCAGCAATGTGAGCACAGCCAAAGCCAGCTGGGATCATCCTCAGAGCGCTGAACGGTAAGCCGTGCCAACAGGAAGCCATTAAAAGATGAGTCACTCTTCCAGCCTGAACTGGTTGTGATTAAGCTGACTCAGCAAAAGCCTTGAAGCAAAAGGGGGGGGTGGGCATGGAAAGTAGCAATGCATTAATGGCTCTTACTCATCCCAGCTGCAGTCAAGGGGCTTGTCAAAGTGTGTGGGTGGATAGGCAGGTCAGGGGTGTGGGAGGAGATGAGTAAAATGGGGAAGAGGAGAAAGAAGGGAGGCCATTTCTGTTTTATTTATGAAGTGCAGTAGGCTAAACACACCAGCAACAGCAGACAAATATTTGAAGAGCAGAGTTCTTGGGGCACATGTGCAGGGTGTTATTTTGACTTGATAACAAAAAACCTACTGATCTAATTTCTTTCGTCTTGAGGATTCAGTAGGATTTCGTTAGAACCAAGAAACACATGCCCTGAAATTCATGCCTACAGGCCTTTTCAGAGATGCAAGAGCATGTGGATGCCTAGAAAGTATGTCCTCGTAGGCTGTGTATCCTGATGTTGACTTGCATTGATAATGCACTGGTTGGTATGTAAGGGATGCGATTACTGTCTACTAGATGGGATGCCAGACGTGTCCAAGTGTTTATTGGTATCCTGCAGTACATCAATTGGAGAATGAGGAGGATATAATCAGTCATACAGCTGTTACTGATGATGGTTATACTGTGATTCAGTGCAAGCAGTAGAAGCCTATGTTTTTCAGACAGGATGTCACAGGTTCTAGTTCTCAGACTACAGCATGTGGCTAGGTTACCATCAGCATATGACTCCCATGGCACTGTTGGGAGTACAGGTGCTGATGCCTATTTATATGGGTCTAAAGAAGATAAAACCCATTGTTATGGCTCTAGCAGGTGTGAATAGGGTTGGTTTGCACATGCAGAACAAGAGACAGCTACAGTGAAGTCTTCCCTACCTTTTCACCTTTTGGCCCTGGTGCTCCAATTGGACCTGGTGGTCCAATATGGCCCTGCAAGAGAACAGACAGCATATGGTAAGAGTGCAAACAGAGCCATTTTTAGAGAAAGAGGTTGTTTGATGCACTGTTGACAATAGAAATGCCTGAATTATATGTACAGGCCTTAAGAGGAACATAGTAAAGCATTATTTGTAGCTGAAAGGCAGAGGAAAACCATATGTGAAGAATTTTTAATAGCACAGAGTAGAAGGCTATTTGTGTCCCCTCCCCAAACTGAAAATATAAATGTGTTCAAATTATTTCTTGCATCGTGGGCAAGTTATTAGGCTATGTTTGGGACTGGGGAAAGCCAAGTCAAGAGTCAAGCATGTAGGCTTACCTCATAACCCCTTAAGCCAGGTTCTCCTTGAGCACCCATTCTTCCTGGGGGACCCTATCGAAGCAATTGAAGAGAAATGCCATTACAAAAGGCTGCTGTCATTCCTGACTAGTCTCATGGCAGCAGCGTGCTGCAGCATTCCCACTGGGCAACATTCCCTCTATTCAGCCATCAAATTGGCATGAAAGTAGCTACACCAAACAAACTCTCTGGCACTGCATAGCAATCAGATCCCCAGCTTGTTCAGATCCCCAGAAACTTCATCATTATGAATGTTCAGTTTCTTTTTCCATCTGGGAACAAGCTCACGTTTCTGGCATGCTGTCAGCCCTGTGCCCTTTCCTTCTGGGACCTGGAATAGGTATAGATAGGTGTCTACAAGCCCCAGAAATTAAATTCTTTGTTTTATCAAGTGCTCTCTGATATGTTTGTGTTTACAGAGCAAAGTCTCAAGACAATGCAGGGTGGATAACACTTGCCAGTTGCTAATCAGATCTATGCCTATTACTATCAAAGGCAGATGTGCTTGTTTGTTGATGCTCTATTCTCTACCAGCCCTGTTCAGATTCCACTTTTAGCTACTATCCAAAGTCTTATTTTTTGGCCAAATATTCCATCTCTGATGTTTTCTGTTGTAATGAAGGACTTGATCGTAAAGCACGTTGACTGTCTTTTGCTTAGCTTTGTGGTTTGAGGCTGAAGGAGGAGTCCATCTGAACTGTGATGGGTGGCTTGCAGGAGGTAAACATTGACATTTTAGGAGTCTGAACAAAAGGTTAAAAAACATTTTTCGAACCCTGATGTTCAGATTAAAGCTCTCTGTTATTAAACTGCAGAGAGTGGTAGACTCCAACTTTTCCAGCTAGTTGAGGGTCAATTTAGATTGTTGTAGGTTAGGCAAATTTCTTCTTCTGGCACTTTATATTTTATAATCTGATAATCTCCATACTTCATTTGACTGTGTATTGCTATTCCATAAGTAAAATATGTCATTCTAGGTAAGAGAAGGAGTTGTACGCATTAGTTATTCCAGCGGCTAGAAACCACTACACAAGTCATAGTCTGCACTTCCTATTTGCAGCTGGAAGTTCAAGTGCTGGCATGCAAATAACACACATTGGTGTGTGCTGTTAAACAAGGTAAGCTACAGGGGGCTAAGGATGGCTTTCTGTACTGGAAGATATTTCGGGTGATACAACAGAATTGGAGTGTGCTTTGTACTGGGGGAAAAACAAGACTTCTGTCATTTGAGGTCCTTTGGATCTGCCAATATCTGAATCCTGGTGTTGGTGGAGCTAGTTCCTCCTAGAGTCCATTGATATGAATTAGCTACAAGGGCTGCTTCAGTGTGCCATATGAGAGATTTTTTCATAGGACCCAGTTGTCACACTACTTCTACTAGACCCCACCTAACAGATTTGTCTGCTAGGTAGCCTTTCTAGAGTATCCTATTTTTGATGCAGAAAAAAGCCATTTTCTTAAGCACAGGCTGCAAAGGCAGGCTCAGTCCAGTGAACTGCTAAATAAATAAATAAAAAATCCATACATTATCCATGGAGATTCTGCCAAAAAAAACCTTCAGGGAAGTTCTATGCAAAGGCCTTAATTTTTAATGCAGGACTTGTTACTCAAGTCCCCAGGTACTTCTCTCAGTTACTCAGGCACTCATTGCTACTGTTCTGAAACATCTCAGCAATTCCCTGTTCATAACTAACTAACCTTAGTCCTTCCTGCCCTTCCAGTATGTTCTATAAACAGCAAAGTAAAAAGAATCAAGGGACACCACGATACCAGCTACCTTACAGGTCTAATACATATGAAGAAATAATGTCATCAGTTATCACCGTCTTGAACCCACTATCACATTTCTGAAACAAATGAACTTTCTTCACCGTACTTTTTTTGTTCTTTCTCCCAGCCTCACCCCAATGCCCTGCCTCAAACCCTTCATCATATTTGTTCTCACTGTAGGTATTTGAGATGAGTAGATCAAGAGTGGGTGTACAGTCAGGGAAGAAGTCCAAGGCAGAGTTCCATATAATAACATTGTTTGGCTTGGAAATTTCTCACACCATGAGCATGCAGTCTCATGGGGAGCGCTTTTCACAAAAATAGCTTATCAGTTCACTTCCTCCTTCCAGAAAACCAATCCTAATATTTCAACTTGTTAGGAGTGTTAACTAGTTCTGCCTGCCATCAGTGCAAAGAAAACTCAAGACATTTCTTCTTATGCCACAAAATGAAATACTAAAATCTTGGATGATTAATGACTCTAAGAGATCAAAAAAGTTGATCAGATCTCCATGGGAATTTTGAAAAAGGTCCTTACTAAGCAATCTAATGAAAAATTGCAGTTTTGATAAAAAATGAAAAGTGAATATTTTTCAATTTTTGATGTTTTGAAAATAAGTTTTTTTTGTTTTTTCCATGTACAACTTCCTTCCTTCTCTCTTTTTTTTCTCTTTTCCTATAAGAATTTGCCACTGAAAGGAACTGAGGAAGAAAAAAGGGAAGCTTCCCTACCGAAATCTTGTTAAAAAAATAAATACTAATTAAACTTTTAATTTAGAAAAGATATTCATTTTCTGTTAAAAAAAAACAACTGTGAAGAATTTTTTTCAGCTGACTTCAATTAAGTGAGGAATCAAGAAGAGGAGCAAGCAGTGCAAGAATATAAACCTGTCCTTCTCTCTGCCTGCTTCCTTACGCTCAGAGCCCCTAAGTGTTTCTACCTCTGCTTGGACCTCCCATGCCATATGCCCACTTGCCATTTGTGTTCATGCTCCCCACCCCTCCCCTCAGCCGTGTCTCTGTTTGTTGCATTCAATCATGTGCGGATCTCGTCTCACCATAGGTCCCAGGGTACCTCTGGATCCCTTAAGGCCTTGAGTTCCCTTTGGCCCTGTCTTTCCTGGAGAGCCTGTCTCGCCAAGTTGTCCTTGATGGCCTTTGCTGCCCTGTAGAAGGTGTAAATATGCATTACTGACCAAAAATGAGAAGGCTTCTGCAGACATATGTTGAAGGAAAGACGTGAGAGCAGGGAACAAAAAAAAGAGGTGGCACTGGCAATGGAAACCAGAGAAAATGTTCCTACCTTCTGTCCTGGTTTGCCCTTTTCTCCTTGTTTTCCAGGTTTCCCTTCTTGCCCCTATGAGAAAGGCAAAAGCCATAAGGAACAAAAGTAAGACATCCATCCAAGAATGAGCATCCCCATCCCCTGGCATGATGACTTTCAAAATGGGCAAAGTCCAGGCTTTGATGATAATGTCAGGCAAGAGTCCTTTTGCCCACTCGCTCCTATTCCCATGGGGGCTGAGAAAGGGGGAGTAAAAATGGTTAAAGGAATAATCCAACTGGCCACATGGAGCATCAGAAAATAAACTTCATTTACAGACAGTCTGGCAGAGCAGGAGCAGGAGCAGGGTTAACATTGTTCCTGAGCTCCCCTGATGCAGGACAGTGGGGTTTACCCATCACTTCAATGCTGAAAGATTATTGTGTAAGGAAGACTGCCCGTCTCTGTGGAAGCATTCATGGGAAGCAGCAGTTTTAATCTTTAGATCACATGTCAGGTGTAGACTAGGACTCTGCTGGCTGGAAAAAACCCATCTTCTGATGGTTGTTGGTCAGCTGGCTTTTACTTAGTCAATCCGGCACCTTTCACCAGCAGCGAATGCATGTAAAACTGAGGCTTTCATAGCTTTGTAAAAGAACAGCACTAGGCATCTGTTGAGGAGCCACTGCTTACTTAAGCAACATCCCCTTGTTCCCTAGTAGATAATCAGCATACCACCAAATACTCCTTTTCTTTTCTGCTTGCTTCTTGTATGCGTCTTTTGGCCATTATACACAACAGCTTTATTTATATTATTTTTAAAACAAGCATGCATGGATGCATATAAACAGACCCCATTATCCACCTGCCTATTTACATAGAAATAGGCTCAGACACGCACATACAGATGGGCCCAGGAACAGCAAGAGACACAGCTACAGGCCTGTTGCACACACCTGTATTCACTTTCTCACATGCAACAGGCCCTTAACCCATTCATGCACATATAGGACAGGAAATGGGCTGCTGGAAGACTGACACTGGAGTTTTAAAGACAATTGAATACTGGATATTCAAAGGTGCCTACAGAGGCTCTGGGTATGTCTGTAAGCACATTAAATGAATGAAATTAAAGAAATGGGGCATTAGGAGTTTTACAGGGATGTCTCTCAGCTCTTTTTCATCAGTTGGACATTAGGAGCACAGGGATTTGGCATTTTATCATCAACTCTAGACTCCATGGGCTGCAGGCCAGGTGACAGATCGTGGATTTGCTTAGAAGAAATAGTAGTTGGAAGGGCACTGAAAAAGAGCTATTATTTTTTGCCCGTTAGAACCTAAACTTTTCATCAGTGTCTTTGTATCAGTCCATCTTGCTGTATTAATCTGGCATTTGTTTCTGCCACAATCTCTCTCCTCCTGAACTCCTGCATTTTTAATTAAACAAGGTATTATTTGAATTACTATTGATGCTCTGGAAACAAACTGGTCTCTTGGCCAGATGAAAGTAACAGTAACACCACAAGATAAGCCTAATCAGATGTAGTGTTTTTCAGCTTTGATCTGAAATGTGTCTCAGCTGCAACAGCGCAGACAATTCAGACCCACAGCAGTTCCCTGAAGGGGATGATTCTGTTCTGCGTGAGTCATACATTTCCAGGGAGCATCATGTAAATTCTGGGAATTAAATCTTTTGCAAAGGTATCATTGCTTCTCAGGAATATTTGATTCCTACTACCTGATCTCTTAAAACTATGGAGTTTGTTTTTAGGCCTCCAGATTTTTTATTATAACTTCTCTAATCCTATGTGAGGACGTTGTCAGGAAGGCTGATCGCCCCTTGTCCTGCATCCACAAATGCATCATGAGCAGGTCCAAGGAGGTGATCCTCCCCCTCTGCGACACTGGTCAGGCCACAGTTGGAGTACTGCATCCAGTTCTGGGTGCCGCACTTTAGGAGGGATGTGGACAACATGGAGAGGGTCCAGAGGAGGGCCACTCGCATGGTCAGGGGACAGCAGGGCAGACCCTACAATGAGAGGCTACGGGACCTGAACCTGTTCAGCCTTCGCAAGAGAAGGCTGAGGGGGGATCTGGTGGCCCTCTATAAACTTACTGGGGGAGACCAGTGGGGAATGAAAGCACTCCCCCGAGCACTACCAGGAGTGACTAGGAATAACGGCCATAAGTTGACGGAGAGTAGATTCAGGCTAGACATCAGGAGGCGCTACTTCACAGTCAGGGTGGCTAGGATCTGGAACCAACTTCCAAGGAAGGTGGTGCTCGCTCCTACTCTGGGGGTCTTCAAAAGGAGGCTAGACAATCACTTAGCCAGGCTTATTTG